TGCTGGGCGCTGGGGCCGACGCTTCCGGCTCCTCCGGGGGTCGGACTGGGCTGTGCAGGATCTGGGGGAGCGGAGGCACTGGGCCCAGCAGGGCCAGACGCTGGGGCGATGGCACACGCGCGCACACTCCCGCTGGCCGCAGAGCCAGCTCCCGGGGAAAGGGTGCGTGCGCTCCACGGACCGTTGGCCCGGGCTAGAAACCCGAGCGTCTTCGGGGCAGCAGCCCCAGGCGCCCAGCCGGCACTAGGCCCCGCAGGGCCCCCCTGCGGGTGGGGGCACCTCTCCTGTGGCGGAGCCGGCAGCCCCCAGTGCGGCCACGCGGGGCCTGCGCCGTGCTCTCGGCCCAGGGCTCGAACCCGAGGCCCCTGGGGGTGAGGCGCTTCCTGACCCTTCCCCAGAGCCAGGGAGGACGGAAGTCAGCTTAGGTCTCTCACTTCTGAACTGCTCAAGGAGGCCATCAATTTTTATGATGTAATTTATAATGTATTCAGGTTGTCTTCATACATATGGTGTTGCTTTTGTGTGCCGAGGTTTCAGGTGCTTTATTACTCGCGCGGCGCGATTTGCATTCACGTTGGGTTACAAAGACCATATTTCTCCTATTTGCACCATAAGGGGCCGAGATGAAGACGGATGCCTGCTCCCTTCGCCCAGGACGCTCCCGGAGACCCCCGGCAGCAGCTCCCCCCCTCAACCCCGGAGCCGGGGTACCCCAGAGCCCCGGCGCCCAGCTGGAGGGGAGGAGGCTGTGCCGCCCGGGGGGCCGGGGGGGGGGGCGGCTTCCGGGAGGCCCTGGCGCACCGCAGGTCCGAGCAGGCCACCTGCGCACCTGAACAGAGAGGCCCGAGTTCCAGGGGGACAGAAAGGGGCGCGTGCGTAGGAGCCTCCTTCCCAACGTGGCTCCTCCGCCGCCTGGACGCCCGAGTCTCCCACAGGCGAGAGCTGCGCCGAGGCCGCGGATCGCACGCCCGAAGGGCAGGCACTTCCGACCGCCCGCGAGGAACTGGGAAGGCCCCGAGGCCGGAACCGGGTGCTGACCGCATCCCGAGGCTGCCGGAGTGTCCCTCCTGGCTTCCGGCGCGTCCGGAACCCCCTGCCCAGGGGGGTCTCGCCGCCCCGGTTGGGCCTGGCCGGGCGCTGGCGGGAGCAGGCGCGGAGGCCTCCGCCAGGCTCGCCCGAAGCGGCTGAAATGAGGAAGCCAATTAAGCCCGAACAGGCAGAACCAACAGAACCAACGGACGCAAGCCCGAGCGAGCGGACGCCGCCCCGGGGAGGAAGCGCGTCGTGTCGTGCAGGTGGCGGTGTCAGCTACACGCGGAGTGGGGCGGCCTGGCGCAGGCGGTCCGGTTCCAATCCGGCTGGTCCTCCAAGGCAACCCGGGCTCCAGAGGACGCGGAGCGCCCCCGCCCCCCACCCCCTCACCCCGCCATTTAGCTGAACAGGCCCCGATAAAGGTCGCCCCCCCCTCGCCCCCACCAAGAGGAGAAAGCAAAGCTGGGTGAGGGAGCTAGCACTGAGTCTCCAAATTCCAGCTGGACGGGGTTGGGGAAGGTTCAAGCACCGGTGACCCAGGCCCCTCCCAGGGGGACCCCTCCCCTCTGCAGGGAGCTGGGGGAGGGGCCGCAGGCCGCCCCGGAGGGATCTAAAGAGGCTGGACCGGGGAAGGGGAAGACGCGGCTGCAGGTTTTCAAAGTGCCCTCTGTCCGCCAAAGGGTGGGGGGAGGGGAGCGAGGGCAGAGGGTCGCCCGCAGCTGTTCCAGCGGGGTGGGGGCGGGGGCTGGAACCCCTGCTTGGGTTTGTAAACACGGGTGGGAGCGGGCCAGAGGGCCCTAGTGCACAGCGGGGGGAGGGGGGGGGGCGGGCGGGGGGAGATGAAGGCCCACGGTGCTCCCAAGCGTAATTATCTGATCTGCAGATGTAAGTGGAATTTATTGTAACAACAAATATAGTGATGTCAAAACCCAACCTTGGATTAAAGCCGGCAGCCAAAGGGGAAGTGTATTAATTTCCAACAGCATCTCAGGCCAGGGCCTATTAGAACAAGCTATTCTTCAGGCCCCCCCATCAGAATTAATCATTGGGAGTTAATTTGAAGCTCAGACAAGTTGCTGTTAATTTAGTGCAGGGAGGACGGGACGGAATAAAAAGCGGAGGTGCTGGCCGAGCCTCGTGGGTCTCATTAATCAGCCAGCTGAGACGGCCTGGCTTGATTACAATTTGCAAAAAAATTCATTAGGGCCCGGGCGATTGACAATTTTTCTCTCTGCCTGTGATGTGACTCATTAGGCAGCCGAATGAAAGCCATGATGACGGCCGTGATGACAGCGGCCATCAAGCCCCACTTGTTTATCTTCCCTGCTCTGCCTCCCGGCCTCGGCCGCCGCGGCGGGCTCTCGGGGCGCCCCCGCGGTCACGGATTTGGGGGGGGGGCGGGAGGGCCGGCGGAGGCCCTGGCCCGTTCCTCCTCGAGCTTCCCAGGGGCGAGGGGCACGCAGCTGGGGAGTTGGGCCCCGGGGTGGGGCTCCTGAAGGCAGCCCCCCCTGTTCCTAGGGAGCTCGCCTTCCCCTGGGGCTCGTGCAGCCCAGGCTGGGGGCTTCTTTGTGCCTCCCACCTCTGCCACCGTCCTTGGGAGGAGGGTAGGGGCGAGACCCCTGTCTTGGTGGAAGGTGAGGAGGGGCGCACTTGGGGTCAGCGACATCGCCCTGCTTCCAGCACCCAGGGTTCCTCCCCCAGAAGCGGGATGTGGGGTGGGGGCGCCCCCACCAGGGAGGGTGCAGCTCTCCAGGTCCCGTGTGGGCATGGGCTGCGGCCATGAGCCCCAGTTCTGTGCAGGTGGCATTTCCGGCTGGGGACTGACCGGCCCAGGCACGTGGGGGGTGGGGGGCGGGAGTGGGTGGGGGAGGGGTCCCCTCGGCCTCCATTGCTGTGGAAGTGGGCCGGCAGTGGAGACCCGCCCGAAGCAGATGAGCCAACCAGCTGCCCCGGGGGCGCTCAGACCCGGGGCCTGGTGGATCTCGGGCCGGGCAGGCAAGGACCCGGCGCACACACCGCCGGCAGGCCTCGGGAGGCTGGGTGGGGAGCAGCAGGAGCCTCTGCAGCCCTCCGCGCCCCAGGCCCCGCTGAGGCCCTTGGAGGACCAGCCAGCCCATGTTGTTGTGCTCAAACCCCAATTCTGAGCCATTAATACCAGGGCAGGGAATCTTGGAAACACTCGGGAAACAGCAACTCGGTTGCACCTGGGCCTCACCTTTGACCCGAAGTTCGGCAGCGAGCCTGGGTCACCATACGCTTCAGCCGAGGGGAGGTGGCGTGTTTCAAGCCGCATAAATTAAGTCAATATTAGTATCCACCCACCGGCGACGCACGTCCCCTTCTCGGGCTCAGAAGCGCGGTGGGCGCTGTGCGCGCCTGCTCGCCACCCTCTCCCGGGCCTGCGTTCTGGAGCCTGAGGCCGGCGCAGCCGCTGACTCCTCTTCGCTCTTGGGCCTGATGGGTTGGAGCCTTCAGGACTCGCGCACCGCGCTCACCCCTGGGTCACCCGTGTCCTGTCCCCGGCAGTCTCTCCGGTGGGCCCGGGTGCTCGGGTCCGGTCGGGCTCTTCGGGGCCGGAGGGGAGCCGGCAGAACGGGCCGGGGCCGGAGTGGGGCGGGACTGCGGATGCAGGCACAGCCCTCCGGGCCCCGTTAGCGGCCGGCAGCTCCCAAGTCCCCCCCGGACCTGCCCCAGCCGGCCTGCAGTCCTCTCCCCGCAGCACCCTCCAGGAGGGTCGGTGGTCCGGTCCCGCCCCCTTGACCCCGCCCGGAGAGGGAGGTGCCCGGCCCACGAGTGCTCCCAGCCCGCCTCCCCCTCGGAGCCGAGCGCGGCCCGGAAGCCCGGCCTGGCTGGCGGGGCTCCTGCGTCTGCCGGAAGGGAACCCTCCGCCTGATTTACGGGCGCGCGGCCCTGCCCCGCGAGCGAGCAAGCGAGCGCCGCGTCCTTCCGGAATTTTTCGAAGGAAAAGCGTTTCCTCCCCTGGCCCTGGTCGATTTCGCACCTCAGGAGCTTGGGCAGAGCCCCCAGTGCCCACACCCCCCGGCTTTCCCTCCTTCCCGCTCGCCAGCCTCCGAGGTACTGGATCGGCTGCGTAGAAAGGGGGATGTCGACTTCCAAGGGGAAAAACTGGTTTCCTGAGATGTCTCACGCATTTGGGGCTCTTGCTCTCCAACGGACAACCCGGTAGGCGCCTTCCGGCCGGCGGAGGACCGGCCCCGGGGCCGTGCCCGCGGTCCAGGGCCCGGAGCAGCTGCCCCCCGAACAGCCGAGTCTGGACACACTCATGAGACCCAGCCTCGCGTCTTGTTTTTTTTCTCTCTCCCTCTCTCTCTCCTTTTTATTATTCACAAGACTGGGACTGTTTAAATGTCATAAGTTATACGAAAATAAGCTACATTGAAATAAATTAAACACAACAGAGACGGGCTTCAGACACGGCTCGGACAGGGCACCCAACCCCAGGAAAGAAAGCCAGGCAGGACCAAAGCAAAGCAAATTTCCAGGCTGCCCCCAAACGCCTGCTCCTCAGTCCACTAATAAAAAGCCAGAACAGAAGCAAAAAGAAGAAGTGCCAGCCCCGGTGTGAGTTCTTGCACGTCACGTTTACCTTTGGAAAAGTATGGACAGGTGGCTGCTATGGGTGGCGGGTCACGGTGGAGGTTTGGTTGTCTTCTGGAATGCGAGCGGAGGAGGTTACTGGGCGGTTCAGTCCTAGAACTTTCAAACCAGTGCAGCTGACACCCCGACCGTGTAGATATCTATGTACAGAGCCGGGGAGCATAATAAATACTCGGTGTGCCTGCAGCTGTAGCCCCTTTGAAAGCAGTCTTGCACGCCTGTTTAATGGAGATACTCTGGATTCACTTGGGATGTCCACAGTGGGGGGGGTGACGGAGTTTTGCTCCCAACGAGGCGCAGTGCACCCTGGGTTCCCTCCAGCGTGGCCGGTGCTGGCCCTCCCTGGGCCCTCAGGGCCGGGCCTGCTCCAGCTGCTGGTGCTGACTTCTAATCGCAAACCTGCTGACGTGGACGGGGATGGGGACGACGATCTTGGGGTTCCGGGAGGGCTCCCCGGTCTTGGAGTTGGCGTTGCCGGCCTTCACCCGTTTCCACTTGGCCCTGCGGTTCTGGAACCAGATTTTCACCTGCACCTCGCTGAGTTTGAGGGCGTGGGCGATCTGCGAGCGCTCGGTCAGCGACAGGTACTTTTTGCAGTGGAACTCCTTCTCCAGCTCCAGGAGCTGCTCGCTGGTGAAGGCAGTCCGCCGGCGCCGGTTCTTGCCCGTGGACGTGGTGCTGCCCGCGGCACCGCCGCTGGGCGGGGGCTCCTCCAGCGCGTGGCCCGGGTCCTCCTCCTTGTGAGCCGCCTGGCCGGGGAGATTGTCATCCGAGCTGTAGTCCAGATCGCTCTCCAGCGAGAAACTCTCCTCCTTGCCCTTCGGGTCGTCTTCCGCCTTCGACTCGTCTTTCCCTTGCCCTCTGACAGCCCCGACTGGAAGCAAAACCAAACGGCGTTTTATTACAGCGCACGCCCCAGCCTGCCTCTCCCCTTCCCACTGGGCTCCGGTGTCTCCTCCCTGAGCGAATTGTCTTTCTGTGACATTCACACATTGCCATTTCCTGGCTTTCGGAGACCCGTGAGGAAGCTCAAAGGAGAGGAGGGGACGGCGCTGGCCACTGGCGAAGGCCCTGTGCCCAGAGCCATCACTCAAGGGGCTGGGGAGCGGCCTCTGCACCCTCCCTGCCTCTGCAGCTTAAGGTCCAAGGAGCAGGAGGAATGAGGCCCCAGAGAGGGTCCTCTGTGGCTCCCGGGTGGAAGCTGGGCGGGGGCGGAAGGGGAGTTCACGATCCTACCCCTTAACGTGAACATTTTGTGAGCCTCCATTTCGCCGCAGCCAGAGTGGGGGCTCTGGGAGGTGCGGGTCCCAGGTCATCTTTTGTTTTGTTTTGGGTTTTTTGGAGCAGATAACCTTGGTCAAAGGTAGCCTAAGTTCAGGAGCCTAAGGGAAAGTTCACACAAACACGCAGATGCTCAGCCTCTGGGGAATCCCATCTCCCCGGCGAGCTGCAAGCCCCGGGAAGGGGCTGGATGGGTCTCGGCGCCCTAGGCGCCAGCACTGTGGAGACGCGGAGCCCAAACCGCCCTTAACGCTGAAACCTGCCCGGGACCTGTTCGGAGGAGCGGGGCGCAGACGGCGGGGGAGAGACTTCGTCAAACTCACGGCCAGATGGGGGCTCAATGCGCCCCCACCCAAGCCCAATCCAGGGACTGAGCTTATTGCATTGCTTTAAATGCTCCCCGGGGTCCCCGCGGCTCAACTGGGCCGCGGCCTCCCGCTCTCCAGGAGGGGGAGTGAGAGTGGGGGTGGGTAGCTAGGGCGAGGGCCGGGCGGGGGCTCGGCCTCTCCCCCTCGGCCCCAGCGGGAACCCGGAGCTGGCTCGCCCCCGCCTCCTCCCGCACTCGCGCCCGGGTCGCGCGCGCCGCCGACTCACCGAGCGACGCCTGCACCGCCTCGGCCGCAGAGAAGGCGAGCAGTGAGCCCTCCTTGGCCAGGAAGCCTTTGCCGTCCTCAGCGTCGGCCTGCAGCGCCTCCGCCTTGTCGAAGTTGCCGCCGCCGGGCAGCGGCTGAGGCGCGAACTTGCGGGAGGCCGCCGCCTCCTGGTGCTGGGGAGACGCGGAGAAGCCCCCGGGCAGCGTGGCCATGAGCGTGGAGGTGAGCGCCATGCCCTGCGCCAAGCTGGAGCAGAAGCCGGTGGGCAGGCTGGGGATCTGGTGGTGAGGGTGCGCGGGCGGCAGCGCGGGCTGCAGCGCGGCCTGGGGCAGCGCGGGCGGAGGCGGCGGTGGGGGCGGCAGCACCACCGGCCGGTAGGGCATAAACATGGGGTAGCCGGTGTAGACGAAATGGCCGGGGCTGGGCTGCGGCGGGCTGCCGATCAGCGAGTCTATGCTGAAGGCGGTACTGCTCCCCAGCGGGCGCTGCATCATCATCAGCGACGGCGGGAACGCTGCGCTCATAGACGCGCTCGGGAGAGGCCAGCGAGAGCCGAAAAGTCCCTGCGCCGCGCCGCCGCCGGGAAGCCCGCCGGGCACCGGGAGCACCGTCGGGCCGCGGCGGAGCGGTAGCCGGAGAGCAGACGCCGCCGCCCCTCAGTCCCGGCCCCGCTGCATGCCCAGCGGTTGCGGGTGGTACGCGGGGTGAGGTCGTGCGCCCCGGAGCGGAGAGGGCGCCCGGGCTCCGCGGCGGGCTCGCGGGAGCCGCTGCCCGCCTCTTGCCGGTGGGGGCCTGCGCGCGTCGCTTCCGCGGCCCTGGACCGCCCGTCCGTCCGCCCGTCCGTCCGTAGCCTCCGGCGGGCCGCTGGGGAGCGCGCGGAGCTGGCGCACTTGTCTCCGGCGGGCGCCGCCAGCACCTTTAAATCGCGCTCCTCTTTCTCATTCACATTTTGCCAGCTTCCCGGCCGAGGCCTCCTCACGTGGGGCCGGGCGCCGCCGCCCATTGGCTGCGCTGGGAGGGGCGGGGGAAGGCGGAGCCCCGCCTCTTCCACCCGGGCTGGCAGCGAGCGGGCTGCGGGCGCCACCAGCGGAGCGCGCGGGCCCGAGAGCCCGAGCCGGCCGCGCCGCGCAAACTTGAAAGGGGCTGCTGGCACCCTCGAGGCCCGAATCCGGCGCCTGGCAGCCCCATCGGGGCCGCCTCCAAAGGCAGCTTCTGGGGCTAGGACCCGCCACGGCTGGGCCCAGGGCGTTTTATGACTTTTCCTCGGAACCAGCCTGCTCTGGGCTCACCCTAGCTCTGGGTGCTGCTGCTGCTGCCGCAGCCGGGTCCCGGCCAGGTTCCCCGGAGTTGGGGGCAGGGTCCTGCTGCTTCCGATCCGCCCCTAGGGCTCGGGCCGGGAGCCGACAGCCCCCGCCCGCCGCGGGGTACCTGCGGGGTGGCTCCTGGCGGACACCCCCTCCCCCTCCCGCTTCTGGGCGGGGGGCGGGGAGGCTGCTGGTTCCCCCATCCTGAGCTGGGCCCTCCCGTGAGCGATCCTTTCTCATTTTTCATGACATTCTTAATCATCGCACCTATTCGCCTCCGCGCACCAAAATAACAGCCACGATAATTATGATAATAAAGTGAGTCCTTTATCTCCTCCATCCTCGGGGAGGAAGGGGGGAGTTCCCGTGCCCCCAGACTGTGTAACGTGAGATTATCCTGATGAAAGCTTTATGATGTTTGCTCAAATAAAAGCTGCGTTTGGTAAATAGGCGCTAATTAAGCACGTTGCGAACCGAGGGAGCGCTCACCGCGGCGCCGCCGCCTGGTTTCCAGCGCGGGGACGGGAGGGCGCGCGGCTGCCCTTTGCCTCCTGCAGGATGGAGACGATTCTCTCCAGATGTTTCTCTCGTCGGGACGGTGGTAAAACCCCAGAATTTGGGAGTCAAGAGAATTGGCGCGGGGAGGGGGGCGGGGGGAGCTAGGAATGTTCGCATCCCCTTTTCCAGGATAAAAACAAAACTTTCATTCAGCTCTTGGGGTGCCTTTAAAAACGGAATCATTTCATCTCAAGGGTAGACCGTGCAGAGCGCGCCAGCGCGCGCGGGCTTTCCGCGCGCCTCCAGGGCCTCGGCTCCAGCGTCCCGGGGCCAGACGTTCAAGCACCGGGCTCGGGAGGAGGGGAGCGAAGGGCATTGTTGCACCGGCCACTAAAAACCAGCTCACGCGGAGAATCTAGTGGTTGGGGAGTTGGCCCGTGTTGGACGTGTGTTATGTATCACTTACAAGCACATTTAATTGGGAGATAAAGATAAATCGATCTTTATGAATTTATCGACCCGATTCTTTGAAGCTCTTTTTTTCTCTCCCTCTTTCTCTCGCTCTCACCCCAACGCTCCCCAGGGACGTCTTAATCCCAGACCACCTCCTCACCCACGAGTCTGGCCAGTGACCCCACTGCCCACCCAAAGGGCCCTGGAGGGGGAGGGTGGGGGGTGCTGAGGAAAGGCGGGCCCTGCGCCAGCCGCGGCCCCCCTCCTCGCCTTCCCGCCCCGCCTTCCCGCCCCGGGACAAAGCGGTCTGGAGCGCGGCTCCCCACTCCAGGCCGCAGTAATGGATGGCTGCGGCAGCAGGCGGTTTGAAAAGAATTCATTAGGTCGCTGCCCGTATTGCCTCCGCTCCCTCTGCGCCGGGACCCGGAGGCGGCCGAGGCGGTGCAGGGGACGTGAATTCCCGTTGGGATCCACGGGGAAGGAGGTGTCTGTGGGGCGGGTCTCTAAGCTGTACCCCCTCTTGCTGCACTCCTGCCAAAGAAGACACAGAAGAAAAGGAAAAGGAAAAGGAAAAAAAGGGAAACCCAGGGCAAAAGGCCGATTCCTTTATGAACATCATAAATACTCCCTCTCATTAGGAGGTAGTTACCGTCACGCGGGCTGGGGTCTGGTGAACTTGTTTTTCTGAATGCTAGGAGAGAACGCCCCGCTCCTGGCCGGACTCACGCTGCCACGGCCGGTCCCCTCGCCGCCTGCCTGACGCCTGTGCGAGCTGCTAGGCGTCCTATGCAGCCGGCTTTGCCGTCTACGTTGCCATTTCGCTGTAAAAATATTGTTCTAGGGACTCCCGTCCCCTGATTACCCCCTGAGAGCCAGGTAACCCCTTTGATTATTTTGATGATAATTCCACATTTAAAGTTCAGCAAAAAAAAAAAAAGATTTAGGTCCGTTGAATTATAGCTACACTTGAAATAATTTGATGGCATACTACCTGCATCCATAAATTGCCGTGCAAAGTATTGACTGCGGGGGTTATAATACTAATCTTCTTTTATTAGTGAGTTCAGAGAATTCTCATCAATATGAATTTTATTTACTAGTGTGCTTTTTTCTCGAGTGCAAGGCGGTAATATTTTCTCATCTGATGCTTAACTGCTTAGAAAACTGCTGTTCGCCTCATAAAAGGGTCCTTGTGTTTCGCAGTGATTCACAAGACTCATCCGGGGCACCTGCGCTACCTGCGCGGCGCTCCGAGCGTGGGGACTGCGGGCAGTAAAAGCCCTCCGAGTTTTTCCTCGGCTCCTCAGAGAGATTTATGGGCAGCCCGCGACAGGGACACGTCTTCCCAGCCTTCGGACTCCTACCTGCCTGGGCGCAGCCGCCTCGCACCGCAGGGTCTGAGTGCCTCCGCTGGCCCCGGCGGCGGGAAAACCGCCCGGAACAGACCTTCCGCTCCAAGAGCCCCTCCCCACCCGCCCATTAGGAGGAATGCAGCACGCGCGGCGGGGAGAGCTGAGCCCTCCAGTTAGCTCCCCAGAACTTTTCTTTTTTTTTCTTCCCAGAGAACTTCCCTCCGGGTGGAAGTTGGCCCAGCCCCGGGGGCACTTTCCTCGGCGGGTGCCACGCTGGTGTCAGGAGCGCGTTAAGCCACTTAAAACCTCAGACGTCAGTAAAAGGGAAGGTGATTAAGTCGTCTCCGCGCTCCCGGCCGGCCCGGGCGGCCAGCGGCGGCCTGCAGGTGTGCGCGCAGCCGGAGTAAAGTGCTGACCACACCAAGTGGGCCCGCCGAGTCCAGCCCAGACGAGGGGCCGCCGAGGCCCGCCTGCTCCGGCTGCCGCCAGGGGCCAGGTCGCGGGTGGGCGTGGGGAGGGGGCGGCGTGGGAGCCCCGGGTCTCGGGGGCGTGGAGCAGACCGTGGGCCGCCCGTGGGCCTTGAGGGCGGAGCGCTCTCCGGCGTCCAGAGCCAGGCAGCCAGGCCGGTTCCTCCGGTAACCGAGTTGTTTTTATTTATAGGGACTCGGAGTGGCCCGATCACTCGGTCATTGCCTCGGCTCTTGCTCCTGGCAATAGTTGGGAAATGGCTTGGGATGGGTTTTATTTATGGAAGGGCAATTGGGATTCACACCCGGCTCACCCCGCACGGTCCCCCCACCCAGCTCAAGACGCGCTGACAAAGAGGGGCTTGTGTAAAATTCCCCATCAGACACACCAATTTGCAAGTAGCAGAAAGCATTGAAGCCTCATTTTTTTAAAAACTATTTTATTCAGCTTTTTTTTTTTTTTTTTTTTTTATAATCTGAAAGCCCAAAATAGACTCCATGTGGTTCTAAGTGAAGTCAGCCCTTGGCTGGCTTTGAAATAGCTCCTGCAATTATGTAAAAGAGCCATTCACCAACAGGACGGAATTAAAAGGGATCTCGCCTGCTTCCCTTTCACCGCCAGCCTCTCATGTTTGGCTTTTCAAAGCACTTCCAACACGATGTCTTTCTCCGGGACAAAAGGCAGAACAAAAAAAGTCCCCAAACTTGTAAATTGAACGTCAAGGGAACTTTAAACAATTTAAAGCCCATAAATAACGATAAAGGGGACTGGCCAAAAAAGGCAAACCCATTCAATTAATAGAGTTTCCCAAGCAAAGATCAAGTGGTTTATAAAATAAAAGTCTTTGGTTTCATTATTCTGCTCCTTGACTATGCAGAAAGCGAGACAGGGGGTTTTTTCTAAAGCGCCCTGGAGAAGAAACACTTTTCAGGACGCTGTGTGCTGCGACATTCTTATGTAGAAAGTTTTGCTTTTTGTCCCCCACCCTCAAAGTAACAGAAACAAAACGGCCAACCTGAAGCGTGAAGGAGAGGACAGCTTTTTTTTTCCCCCCTCCCTCCCTCCCTCTCTCCCTCCCTCCCTCCCTCTCTCCCTCCCTCCCTCCCTCTCTCCCTCTCCCTCCCTCCCTCCCTCTCTCTCTCCCTCCCTCCTTCCCTCTCTCTCTCATTTCCTCGGGGGATTGGGAAATGCTGTTCCCCGCAGGCCTGAGGCGGGGACGCTGACCCTTCACACCTGCGCTGCCCTCCCCGCCCCCGCGCGGAGGAGCAGGCGGGGCCCCAGCCGCTGGGCCCGCTGCCGAGTCCTCGTGGTGTCTGGGGGCGGGGGTGGGAGTTCCTGCACCGCGGGGGACCCCCAGGACGACGGCCGAGGCCGGGCCGACAGGCGCACCCAGGCGCCCGCTGCGAGGGCTTGAAGCCCGGAGTCCCCCGAACCCCACACGCAGCTCGG